ACAGAGAGGGTTATCTGATCCCGGCCATTTGCTTTTAATGATGAACCCAAACTTTAATTGTCTGCTTCTTTTTTTTAATATTTATCTGCTTCTGACTTCTTTTTCTTTCCTTTGCAGATAAAAATTAAATGGAGAGAAATAGCAAAAGATGGAGGATGAAGAATTTTGAAGACTTAGAAGAATATTAGGATAATTTTTTTATTATTTAAATTTGAATAAATGTAATATCATTATTATAAATACTTTGTAAATGAATACTTGTATTTAAATAACAATTGTAACAAATATTTAAAAATGAAATAAAAATTTCTTTCATCCAATTAATTCTTTTCTTTTTTCTTTCAATTGTTTACTTTATTATTTATAACTCTTTAAGTTATAATAATTGAAAATAAATTTCAATCATTTAAACTCAGAATAATAAACAATTAAATAAACACTGATTTTATGACAAACCTGGCGCTCCAATTATCCAAAGCAACGCATAATTTCAAACCAAGCGACAGTTAATTAAACAAAACGTCCATCTGCCCCTTTTCACTGGTTAAATCCAACAAACGCAAATTCAATCCCAGTGTCTCTTTTCATTGATTTAGTCAAACCCTGCGAGTTTAAACCAAATGTTTCAATCCACATTTCAGAATAGCTTGACAAACACCGTAGAATTAAATCTTTCTGAAGAACCGCGCATAAAAACCCTAATTCCTGGTTAAATGTCAAAGAAACGTTCGCCTGATCAAAGTTGAGCCAAAATCAACCAAAACCCTAAGCAACTGTAAGAACTGTTCTAAAGCCATGAAAATTAATGATCACCCTAATTTTTGTCTGACTGACGAGAAAAGTCTGTTTGACCGATTCTTGAGCCAGTTTGAAAAATCAGGAAACGCCTGAAGTTGTGATTTCTTGAGGAAAAATGCGAGGGCAAATTTTGGGGTACAACACTATGCTTGGCCACAACTCCAAGTTTTTGGCAGGTTTTTGGTGATAGGGAGTTTTGGAGTGTTTATGGCCTTGAGCCATCGTGTTCTAGGTTGCAATGTGTTTGTGTATTAGTATAGAGAAGGTTTCTAATCCATTGCACAACATATTTCTGAGTTGTAGGCTTTTTTGCACTTTTCTTGCTTTTGGATCAAAGTGAGGAGACAAGTCTTTACATGCTTGTACAGGCCTGCTTGGAGTTGGTACAAGTCCTATACAACTTTCTCTTGGTTTATAGAACTTGTGTGTGCAGAGAAAACAAGTCCAGTGCTCAAGAAGTGCAAAGTTGCAAAAGTTATGCTTTTCCAAAATGGCAATGGCAACTTTGTGCCATTTATGGAATTAAAGCTTGGACAAAGACTCTTGTGCTTGGATTAAGGCTTTATAATATGTGTAAGCATTAAATTATGAAGTTAGAAACAGGTTTGAGACCTATAAAGCAAGGATTAGGCAGCATAGGTTCAGATTTGAATTTTGTTCTTCATGAAATGGCTTGAAATCAAAGTGAGAAATTGCCAACTTCATCTCTTCGATTCTCCCTACTCAAAAATTATCTCAAGTAGTTCTTGGACATTTTGTAAATATTGAAATGTGCTCTATAACTCATCTTTGAAATGCATTTAAATATTTCTCTTGGAGCTAGGTGAAAATTTTCCATGAAGTTAGGTAAAAAACCTGCCTAAATTAGGGCAAAATTTCACTAAGTTATTTTAGTTCATGAGCATGTATTCACAAAATTATATATTGAGATCCAAGTATCTTTAGGGATACATGTGTGAATAAAAGTTGTATATTTCATGGAGGTCTACAACTTTCATGTTGGGAACTTTCTTTGAATCATCTTGTATCATGGTGAAAAAATGGCTTAAAGTTGAGAAAAATAAGAAATTTTCTATACTTTGAAAATTTTCTAAGTTAAGAATAATTCAAATTTCAAAACCAAATCTTCAATCTTTGATTTCTTGATGAACAAGTTTCACATTTTGACATGTTTTGATGAATTGTGATCCTTGGCACTTGATTTTGACCAAAAAGTCAAAGTTTGACTTTTCAGTATACAATTAACTTTTGATCAGTTGACTGCAAATTTCATCCGTTAATCCAATGAAAATGCAATGTTTTGAACCATGTCACTAGGTCAAGATGATGCAATTTAGCTCTTGGAATCATGCTTCAAACCAATTGGTCATTTGCTAGGTCAAAAATCAGAAATTTCCCTTTCTCAGTCAAAACCCTAATTTTGACCATTTTGCCCTTTGATGATTTGATCAAATTTCTTGAGGAATTGTGGTCCAAACTTGATCAAATAATACATATGAGTCTAAAATGTTGATGTGGATCAAGAATTATGAAGTTTGACTGTTAATTGGTCATGGTTGACTTTTCCCCCAATTTTTATACAGTTGATTTTCAGGTCAACTGTCCAATTGACTGATAAAAATTGTGATTCAAGGCTTGGAACTTGTCATGAGTAATCTTAGGGGTCCATAATGATCCTTGAAAGTCATATAAAGTATTGATAGTCCAAAAATTCTTGTGAAACTCAAACCCTAATTTTAGGTCATCAGTGTAAGATGAGATGTCTTGAGCTGATCAAACCCCAATCCAGTCTTGAGTCAAAGAGATCTTGTGAGAATAATCTTGATAAATGAGAGGGAAAATTTTGGGGTACAACAAGTACCAACTGATAATCTGGAAAGGTGAAACAGTGATGTGTGGGATCAAATAACTGGAATAAAACACTCATCATGTCTTATTCAAAACCCGAGGTAACCAAACTGAGTAGATGACCATGCTTTTTGGTGAATTAAGAACTTTCAGGAACTTTCGAGACTAACTCCTTAAGTTGAGAAAATATCCTCGCAAAATTGATCCGAATAGTGTTTTTGCAAGCGGAGGCCATAACCTATAAAATAGAACAAAGATAAATCTCTTGGTCCTTGAAATGGTTAGTGAAAATGATATGGTATAATGTCATGATGTTATGATGTCATGTTTGAACAATTAATCAAACACAAACAAAACACACAAGGCCTTAGGTTTAAGCTTACATAGAGTTTGTAGGTAAGTACCCTCTTGAAGTTTTAGTTGGCTCAACCTATCCTAAAAGAAATAATCGGGTTCTAGGAACCTCAATATCACTGATCTTTCTCTCAGGCATTGTTTTAGTACAAGCATCTGATTTGCAATGGAAATATCCCGAGAGTCCGATCTCAATGAGTGTAGTATCGAGTATCAACCAACTTCAGTCTGCACCAAAGCCGACCATCTCACTACTTTCTAATGGCTAAGTTGTGTCAATTAAGGTTCTAAGGTCAGTTAGTGCTTATGACACCATGCGACAACCCAGTATTCTCCTTGACTCACTCAAGGGACACCGACACTAACCAATGCGTCACACTAATGTAGCCATCGTTTCAACCATATCGATCTACGTCGTACAATTTTCATGATTTATTGCTACTTACCTAAAATGCCCTCAGATCCAGGTATAAGATCTATACAAGAAATAAACCCAAGCATATCCCAAAATATAAAGCATACAAGACAAACAAGTAAAACAATAAAGATGATCTAGCTCTTAAGGTAACCCCATTTTTATTTATGTCCCCAACATAGTCGCCATTTTTGTAATACGGTGGGAGAACTGACTTTTGAGTTTTACGTTTTATCACAAATGTTGGGGATAACAAGAGTCGCCACCGACTTTTCTTTTATCTAATAAAGGAAACAGTGAAAATAAAAGGAAAGACCTTTTGAGAATTTTGAGTTCGGGGGGTAGGTTACGAAAAGGGAAAGTGTTAGCACCCTTTTCATTCGTAGTTATCTACGGGCTCTTAATCGCTAGCTCATTTTTTTTGAAAATGTTTTGTGCTTGTGTATGCTTGAAAATATTTTGAAATGCCTAAGTGTGACAATTTTGTAATGATTCTCATATCCTTGAGAATGTATACAAAATGTTTTATTTTGAAAGAAAGTGTTGTTTTGTTGAAAGATGTTTAGTTTTGAAAAGTTTGTGAGCAAGCGACTACGAGCGTTCTACTTACTCAAAGAAGTCTTTGTTCTTTTCCTTCTCCTTTAGATAGTGCTACCATACCATTAGTTAGTGGAAAGCCTTATCATTGGATGTGAGGGACAGACGCGGGTCATCATACAGTCATAGAAGACAACTTGTAGGATGCTTTAATAATTTTTATAAGGGACTAAGATCGTTTACCGAAGGCAACATCGAAGGATCATCGAGGGTCTACGATCTTTTAACCGATGGTCTTTGCTAAAGCATCCCACATTCGAGAGACATGACTGTTTAAATCCGAGACAACAAGTGAAATTACCCTAAGACTGTATACTATATATTTTTCTTCTAAGTATTTCAATACATTAAAAATTAAACATTTGTCTATTGAAATTCTTTTGTGAAATGCTCTAGTACATTAAAAAAAAATTATCTATTAAAATTCTTTTGCCAAATGTTCTAGAATATTAAAAATTGAAAATTTGTCTACCGAAACTCTTTTTTCAAATGTTCATATATATTAAAAATAAAAATTTGTTTACTAAAACTATTTTGCTAAATGTTCTTGTATATTAAAAATAAAAAATTGCCTACAAAAACTCTTTTGCAAAATGTTTTAGTACATTAAAAATTAAAATTTATCTACCAACTCTTTTGTCAAGTATTTTGATACGTATAGGAATACAATTTTTTGAAAATCTTTAATGAATAATAAAAAATAAAAAAATAAAATCATTTTAAAATATATAAAGATAAAGTTGACATTTTTCATAAAAATGTAGGAGTATGTGAATAAGTAGGGGTATGGGGTAAAATTTTGTAACTGCTCTGATGAACCAGGCCTAACATAAACCACACTAACAGAATCGATTCTGGGCCAAAGCCCGACCCATTAACAGAAGACCCGTTTTCAGAATCGCTTTTAAGTTCACCTCAATCACAGCTAGGGTTTCTCCTTTCAGTACTCTTTCTTCGTAATCAGCCACTTCCATCAACAACAGCAGCAATGGTAACAATCTTCCCCCTCTCTCTCCATCTGCTTATTCTCAAAAGTGCTTATTCTCAAACGTGATTCTCTTTGTTTTGCAGGGACCAAAGCGCGGTGGAAAAGCACCAGTTGCAGCTGCTAAGAAGAAGCAGCCAGAGAAAGTGGTGAACCCGCTTTTCGAGAAGAGGCCAAAGCAATTTGGGATCGGTGGTGCTTTGCCTCCAAAGAGAGATTTGACGAGGTTTGTGAAATGGCCTAAGACTGTTCAAATCCAAAGGAAGAAGAGGATCCTCAAGCAGAGGTTGAAGGTTCCACCTGCACTCAACCAGTTCACCAAGACACTCGATAAAAACCTTGGTAATATATAGTGTTCTTGTGAGATGGTCAATGTTTGGTCTATAATATTTGGGTATGATTGACATGTTTGATCTTGTTAAAATTAGTGTTTTTGGTATTGATTCTGCTTAGCTATAGTTTGTTTATTTTTGTTAAGTGCTAGGTAATTGTGATTTTAATTTGGTTTTTATGCAAAATATTTTGATGGGTGGTTGTTAAAATTTGGGTATGATTGACTGTGTGTCAGACACTCATCCTGTCACTTCTTTTTTCGGAGGTGTCGGTGCTACCTTATTTGATTTGTTAGGGTTAGGGATTAGTCTATATTAACTGGTTTTTTGATCTTGTATGATTTGCTGCATGTTTCTTTGCTTATGTTAAATATCTTGTATGATTTTGTTGAGTTGAACTTTGTTAATTTTGTTTAATTCATAGAAATGTACATTATAATTTTGCTTTTAGAGGTAATGGCGGAGAGATGTTTGTTTGGATTGTTGTGTGCTTGATGGTATATGCCCATTGAAATGCTACATGTTGCAATGATTCTCAGGTTTATGATGTTGTTCATTTTTGTTTTATGATTGTAGTATTGATATGACTATTTTGTGAATATTGATTGGGGATATTGTAGTTGCCTTATACTTTGTTCTAATCAGTTCTATTTAATGTACTATGCAGCCACAAACCTATTTAAGATGCTCCTTAAGTATAGGCCCGAGGACAAAGCTGAGAAGAAAGAGCGTCTATTGAAAAGGGCTCAAGCTGAATCTGAGGGCAAAACAGTTGAGACAAAGAAGCCTATTAATGTGAAATATGGTCTCAACCATGTTACCTATCTTATTGAGCAGGTAATATGCCTTGTGTTTATGAATGATTATTATATATACTCTCTCAGTTGATTGTTTACTAACAATGACTTGTCGATTTCTCAGAACAAGGCACAACTTGTTGTGATTGCTCACGATGTCGACCCAATTGAGCTTGTTGTATGGCTCCCAGCATTGTGCAGGAAGATGGAAATTCCCTACTGCATTGTCAAGGGCAAAGCACGCCTTGGAACAGTAATTATTATTTTTATTGTGAATAGTACTCTGTAATACACAAGTTCCATCTGTCTAATTTATAATATTGGTTTGGTTAATGTCTAATTTTGCAGATAGTTCACAAGAAAACTGCAGCTGTTTTGTGCTTGACCACTGTCAAGAATGAAGACAAAATGGAATTCAGCAGAATCCTAGAAGCCATTAAGGTTGTTAAACTCCAGAGTTTTGATTCTTATGTTCTTGTTTATATTTTCGTACTCTAAATTTCTAAGTCTACAATATCTTGCTTTTTTTCAGGCGAACTTCAATGACAAGTATGAAGAGTACAGGAAGAAGTGGGGTGGCGGTATCATGGGGTCCAAATCTCAAGCAAAAACCAAGGCCAAGGAAAGACTCATTGCCAAGGAAGCTGCTCAAAGAATGACCTAGAAGAAGTTTCACATGCTTTTGGTTATTTTAGAACTTTTGAGGTGTTATTCTTCTATATTTTTGACTGAGGTTTTCTTTTCATTCTGGTAGTTGTAATCTATAATTACTGGTTCAATACCTGCACTTTTTGCTGATTTATTTCAGTAGTTGTTTTAGACTTAATGATGGAATATGTTATTATGTTTGATTTCCATTTGTTTCTCTAATTGATTGATTTATTTATGTTGCTTAAATCTATTTCAACTACCCTTACTTATACTTGGTATAAGTCTGATCCATATTTTATTATGTCCATATGTTAAAATAAGTTATCTTTTGTGTCTCGATCAATACATTTTTTCATTATGTCTTTTCCAAAACATATTTTTAGAATATCTTGAACAATATGTTTCCATTATTTTGAATTGTTTTTAACTAACAAATTTATGTAAGGTTTTATGTTCAAATTTGTCTGTCAAGAAGACTGCTCTATCCCATTAATTGTGATATTTAAGCAATTAAACAATAATGTTTCACCCAAATTCTTATCCCATTAACTCAACACATGTGAAGACAGAATCAAGGATCTCCCCAAAAAAATCACCTGGATATCTATAGACCTATATAAGGTTTACAAGTAGGGTGAGAAAAGGTTAAAATAAAAACCAAAAACACAATTGTGTTATAAAGAGTTTGTTGCATTTTTTGTTGAACTTTGAGGTTAAGTTCATCCAATGTCAAACGAATTTGATTGTAACACAATTTTGTTTTTGATTTTTGTTTTAACCTTTTTAAAAGCGTTAATGCAAATTTTAAGTTTAAAACTAAGTCTGAGAAGCAACAGATCAAATTTATAATTTAATTTTCTTCACTGCGAGTCAGGCATAATATGTACATATTTCCAAAAGAAATTGGAGCGGATCGGGCATAATATATAGGTGGCGTTTAGAATGGAGCAATGACTTTTTGCCTACTAGATTTAATTGTACTTTTGATTGTCTATTGTCTATTGTCTCTTATAATCGTTGATATAAATGATTTTATTTTTTCAAATTTTATAAATTATTACATAATGTGAACGTTGGGCCATTGCTTGACAATCCAATGGCTAGTTGAGAAATGAACGTAGTAGATAATGTTGTGATTCCGAGTCTGTAGAAGCTTGGAAGGGGGTTTGACTTGTTGGAATAAAATTGGTTTACACCATATCTTTTAGGTTTTAATGATAATAAAGTATTTAATGAACAATTGGTTAGACTAATATGTGTTAAAGTGTGCAAATACAAAGATCAATATACTGATTGAAAGTCAACTCTAAAATTGCAGATCATCGAAAGAGAAGCTCTTACGAGGCAGATTTTGAAGATCAGACTCTGAATAATCAATATCTGATCAAGATGATCAGAATCTAAAGTCTCCAAACTCTAAACAAGCCATCCCCTGAAGAGTGAGAGTATGAAGGATCAAAAGCTAAGACTCAAACTTTAAAAGATCAAAATTTGAACTTAGTCAAAACTCAAGAATCAAGGATTTCCCGACACATCGCTATCAGACTCTAAAGTCAATTTGTCTTGTTCAACAAGTGGCATCAGAGCCTAACTCATGTTAAGGACTAATCGTTTCAGGAGGAAGAATGACTTCAAGCTATTCACTAAACAGACTTCCATCCTTCTAAGGAGAAGGGTATGGATTGTGGAAAGAGAAAATGAGACTCTTCATAAAAGGAATGAATCGAGGTATTTGGAATACTGTGAAAGAAGGACCATTTGTTCCTACACACGAAGTTGATGGTGTTGTAGTAGACAAACCTGGAAAGGATTGGTCCAACGAGGATAAAGAGAATGTGCAATGCAGTTTGAAAGCTAAGAGCATCACCATCACCACACTTGGTCTTGATGAAGTATTGTAAAATTCTCATTGCGAAACTGCTAAAGAAATGCGGGACATCCTCCAAATTACCCGTGCATGTATTATTGAGGTAAAAGGGGCAAGGTTGGTCACATTAATATATGAGTATGAACTTTCTAGAATGAAACCTAAAGAGAACATAAATCAAATGCAAACACGATTCACTCATATCATGATTCATATGAGAACTTTGGGGAAAACATTCTCAAATGAGGAATTAGTCATAAATATTCTTGGATGCCTAAATCGCAACTGGCAGCCCAAAGTCACTGCAATTTGTGATTCAAAGGATTTGGTGACTATGGACACGCATACTCTACTTGGAAAATTGAAGGAACACGAGATGGAGCAAAAAAGACTTGCTGATGATGAAGAAGATAACAAAAAGAATAGAAAAAAGATTGCGCTTAAATCTATCAACATAGAAGATATGGAATCAGAAGATGAAAGTTGTCAAAGTGAGATTAATAAATTCATGAAGTTCATGTTTCAAAAATTCAAGGAGTTACTATGGCACAAAAAACAAACTTCAAGACCCGATAATAAAAGTGAAGAAAGTTCATCCATTTCTACATGTCATCAATTCGGAGAGAAAAGGCATATAAGACCAAACTGCCCTCAAAACCTGAGAAGAAACCAAAATAAAGAAAAGCTAAAAAAAATCCAAAAAGAGAGCATACATATCCTATGACAACAATGATATCGAATCTTCAGATAAAGAAGAAGCAAACCTCTGTCTCACGACAAATCACTAAGATGATGAAGTAACCTCTCACTTTTCCTATCAAGATTTACTTCCCCTTTGTAATAAGCTATCAAAAATAAATGAGTAAATTAAAACAAATCATCTCTACCTCCAAAGACAATATTTCTTCCCTTGAATTGAAAAATAAAAACCTGTTGAAAAAAATTGAAAGTCTTAGAGAGAGACAATATGATCTAATTCAAAAATTTTCCTCATCTCATAAAACTTTTGACTAATCTATCAACTGTGAGGAATATGACATTTTGAAAAAAAATTGGTAATCTTCAAAACACACTTTATAAACTCACTAAAGGGACAAATAACTCGAATATTTTGTTAGGAAACCAAAGGGCGTCTTACAATAAAGCTGGTCTTGGTTATGAACCTAAGAATAATAGTAAAAGCTTTAGCAATATTTGCAATGTCCAACCAACATCTAAATGCTAAACCCTAAAATGTAATTATTGTAATAAAGACGACCATATTGCCATGTTTTATTTTATAAAAAAGATTCATGAGAGCAAAGAAAGACACCCTCCTTCATACTTTTGTAAAGAACATTGTGAATGTAAAAATATAAGGATGTCCACTCATAATATGTATTTAACTAACATCAAAGAATTCAAAAAGATATGGGTACCAAATGTTGAAAAGTCAAGTTGTGATGTAGATGATGATACCAACAATTCCTCCTCAAATAACACAATTGAAAAAAAAAAGTTCTACTGTGCCATCCTACAAGGGAATAAATCTCTTCACCTAATAACAACAAGACAAAATCATCAGATCTTTAAGTCTTAGTAAGATCCCTAATCTTACCTTTTAGTTGTCTTGAATAATTATAGCACAAGTTGCTTAATATTAAGTAAGTTATGTAACAAATGTAATAAAGTAAATTTAATTCCTCCATATACATGGTCAATAAAAATATTAAAATAACTTTAAAACCTCTTTTCAAAGGTACCATGACTATGGAAGAACTAACACATATTATCTTTAGTGAATTAACTCTTAGTAGGTATAAGTAGAATTTATTACTTTTGCAGTTATGCCTTAAAAATCATCATTGAAAGATGACAATAAAGAAAAATATCAAAGACAAGAGGATGTCCAAAGTTAAAGAAGTCAACTTAAGAAAGTTTATCTTAATAATGAAGGATCATTAATGACAAATTCATTCATAGTATTAATTGAGAAAACTTCCAAAGGAATTGCATATCAATACTCCCCTAGCAAGGTATGTAACCTTATGGCTTTTGTTTCACAAATTGATCCAAAGGAAATTGATGAAGCTATCATCGAATAACATTGGTCTCTTTCTATGCAAGAATGGTTAAATCAATTTGAGAGAAATAACTTTTAAGAACTTGTTCCTAAATCTAGTTGAGTTATTGGAACCTTAGTGAATTTTTCTTAACAAGCTCGATAGAAATATTTATTTTAAGCAAGTCTCGTTACGAAAGATCACAACTAAGGCATAAATCTCAATAATACTTATGCTCATGTACCTCAACTAGAAGCCATAAGAATTATTCCAACCTTCTCATGCATTTTTGTAAGAATCTTCCAAATAAATGTAAAGAATGCAATTTGAATTGTTACATCCATAAAGAAGTGCATGCTGATCATTCTCATGATTTTATAAAACTCTTCTTGCTCATGTTTTCAAAATGAAAATGAGTCTCTACGATCCAAGACAAGCTTATAGAGATTGGTTTAATAGTATGAAATTTTTTCTGGTGGAAAACAAGTTTCAAAGAAGGATGATACAACTCTTCTTTCAAACAGAGCTTACTTTTCTTATTTATATTTTTTTGTAAATTTGATACTACTAACAAAACCTTGTGCAAGAATATTTCTTAAATGATGCAAATTAACTTATGGAAAAGTTCCTGTAAGAGTCCAAGAAGACGTGAGTGCCAACCGTAATAGATTTAATTAAGAAGTTGATTATGCCTTTCAAGATAATCGATAAAAAATGATGATACTAATTTTCGTGATGGAAAAATTGAGATTAATCTATTGATTAACTTAACTAAAAAAAACAAGAGTCATCACCGAACTTTATTGTTTCTAAAGGAAAAAAAGGGGAAAAGTCGAAAAATACTACAAAAAGTTTTGAAACCAAAATAAACAAGAGATTTAGGTACATGTATTGATTATGAAAAGAGAAGATATTAATACCCATCACATCTATGGTACTCCATAGGAACCACTTGCATTTGTTTATGAAAAGAGATTTTTGTTTTTTAGTTGTTTTTAGGTGAAAAAGACATTTTGTCACATTCGAGTGGAATACTCAACTTACTATCCACAAGTATGAGGAAACGAGAATTTGTATCATCTTGATATGAAGAGTTTTATTTGA